TAACTCCCCTTGGCGCGCCCAAGTTTTGGTCACTACTAATGAACGCCACAAGCGTAGAATGGTGATTGATTAAAGCCAAACGATAAATCGTTTCACATTATTGGATGCCTATCCACTCCCAAAAATTGATGAGATGATTGAAAAGATTTCAAAATATACTGTATTTAGCACTTTGGATTTAAAGAGTGCTTACCATCAAATACCCATCAAAAAAGAAGAAAAAATCTTCACAGCTTTTGAAGCTTGCGGCAACCTCTATCAGTTCCGTCGTATTCCCTTTGGTGTCACAAACGGTGTTTCGTGTTTTCAGAGAGTTATCAGTCAGATTATCAGAAATGAAAATCTTCAAGCTGCATTTGCTTATTTAGATAATATAACTATTTGTGGTGAAAACACAGAACAACATGCAAAAAATCTTGCCCGGTTCTATGAAGCATCCAGAAAATATGGGCTAACATTCAATGAGAATAGTGTTATTGGCGTTAAACAAGTAAAACTTCTAGGCTATGAAGTTTCTCATAAAATGATCAAACCTGATCCCGATAGACTTCAAGCATTATGGAATTTATCACCTCCACGAGATCTTAAATCCCAACAGCGAGTCATTGGTCTCTTTGCGTATTATTCACAATGGATATCTCATTTCTCCGATAAAATTCAACCCCTTATACAAAATAAAATCTTTCCATTACCGGGTACTATTGTAAGCTCATATGCAGCATTAAAAAATGAGCTTGCTCAATCTGTGATGACTACTGTGGATCTCGACTTGCCCCTTATAGTTGAAACCGACGCTTCGGATACTGCTATAGCTGCCACGTTAACACAAAATGGTAGACCCGTTGCATTTTTTCCAGAACACTATCACCAAGTGAACGGCATCACTCAGCGGTGGAGAAAGAAGCTTATGCCATCGTCGAAGCTATTAGAAAATGGCGTCATTATTTACTTGGTACTCATTTCCAACTAATTACAGACCAACGATCAGTTTCTTTCATGTACGATATGAACCATCATGGGAAAATAAAGAATGACAAGATTCAGCGTTGGCGAATAGAACTTTCTTGTTACAGTTTTGATATAATCTACCGTTGTGGCAAAGAAAACAAAGTCGCCGATGCATTATCTCGCGGATATTCTGCTTCTGTCATGGGTGAAACTAATCTGAAAGACCTACATAACTCTCTGTGCCATCTAGGAGTTGTTCGCCTTCTTCACTTTGTGCGTTCTAAGAACCTACCTTTTTCTGTTGATGATGTGAAGAGGACGATATCTAGTTGTGCAGTTTGTGCTGAGCTGAAACCCAGGTTTTGCAAAGTATCCACAGGAAATCTTATTAAAGCGACTTCTCCTTTTGAACGTCTAAATATTGATTTCAAAGGACCTCTTCCTTCAAACTCCCGGAACAAATATCTTCTTACGATAATTGATGAGTACTCTAGATTTCCGTTCGCTTTTCCTTGCCAGGATATGACAGAATCAACTATTATTAATTGCCTGTGCCAGTTGTTTTCCCTGTTTGGTATACCATCCTACATGCATTCAGACAGAGGATCGTCGTTTATGTCTGCAGAATTAAAACATTTTCTCCACGATAAAGGAATAGTTACCAGTAGAACAACAGCATACAACCCCCAATCAAATGGACAGATTGAACGTCTCAACGGCACTCTTTGGCGATGTATATCACTAGCTGCTAAATCTAGGTCCATACCAATCTGTGAGTGGGAGGTTGTTCTCCCCGACGCTCTTCATTCTATCCGTTCTCTTTTATGTACTGCCACAAATACTACTCCACACGAACGGATGTTCAGGTACAATCGAAAATCAACGTCTGGTGTTTCTCTTCCCAGTTGGTTAACTATTCCTGGACCGGTCTTGATGCGCCATAATGTACGTTCTAAATATGAATCTCCAGTTGATGAAGTTGAACTGATTGAATGTAATCCCAAGTATGCTCATGTGAGACTTCCAGATGGACGTGAGGAAACAGTATCTATTCATCATCTTGCACCAAAAGAACATATATTTCAATCGCCCGTTAGCATGCCGATTCCAGATGCAGTACCAGAATGCCTCCAAAATCAACTTACTGAAGACGACATATCCACCCGTTCTACAGATACTGAAACTCCTATTTTGACGGACAATTTAAGTGAAAATGTCAAAATTGATCCGAACCCATCTTCTTTACTAGAGAAACAACGAAGGGTTCGTTCATACAATCTGAGAAGCCGCGAAGTCTAAACAATTTTAAAAGTCTTGACTCCTTATGCTCTGTATTCTCAAACAAAAGGGGAGAAGAATGTGGTGTGAACATTTTCATAAACGTTTAGCATTTATATTATACACTATTCACATCTTTCATTTTTGTTTAAACCAGATTCTATACTGGAATTATAAAACGAATAAAGCCTTTATTGCGGGCCCTCAATATTCTCACTTGATCGGTGAATGTTTGATTAACTCATAAACACTACAATATACAAATCCTATAACGCATTCAGGCAACACTGATAAGAGAGACTTTGGCCGGAGTAGACAGAAAGAAATACACAGTTATACTATACCTACAAATAGTACTAGGAATCGATTAAACAATTCATCAATCCTTACAATAATCCATTAACCATATATATTAAGTACGTGATCACTTCATTATGAGTAATAGCCAATACGGCTACAATGAACTCTTGAAGTGTATATGTGAGGAAATGCATAATTTCATACGAACAAACAAGTCAAGATACAATTATCCCACCAATAACACAAAAGATATATATATATATAACTTACGGTATGCCAAATAATTTCATGAACGTAAAACATTGAACTACACATTTTAATTCCGCAAACTAAACAGTTAACTTTCTGATGAATGTCTAAGCCAGCCTTCGTCCACAATACCTGACCACAGATTTCACACGGATGACTTGGAAAGTGATTTACATCTTTTACCTAATTCAACCAAAAAGAAAGCATAACTTACGAATGTAATTTCAATCATCACAAAACATTTTTTTAAACTTTAAAATACACACAAAATGTGATTTAAGTAACGGGAGGATGATTCCACCTTGGAAATTTTAAGCCTATTACATTACATTCACCGACTTAACTACTGTTAGACCTCTCTCCCATTCAGATTCCTTTCTCTACTTAACCGATGTCATCGAGATAGAGGCAAAAAGATCAAAGGGCAATAAGCGCGTATGGAAAGTGTTTTTACGCAAATGTATGCACACAAGAACCCGTCAAATACACATCAAAAATTAAAGGGACTTCCTCCCCTCTCTCTCTCTTTTCTTCTCGTGAGAAATCAACACTGGAAAGCTAGACTCCTTCATCAAATTCCATCATTGATATTTGTCATACACTTCTGTTCACGTCTATTTTATTCAGTTACACTTGGCAACAAAACAAAAACAATCAGTGTAGGATGAACTGCATTTCGTCTGTTATCTGATAGAGATAAACAGCATTTATTACTGAACAACATTTAGAGGTCGAGATATATGCAGCAGTTATGCAGTTATATGACGGGAAACTGCACTACCTAGATATCGGGTCAAACAAAATCTCTACTCTCTAACAATTCAGCTATAACAATCATCTGATCACATCAAACAGTTTTCTCTAGCCTTTTGTAGAACCGACATAGGATTACAAAATACTGAACACAGTCACACTATCTACCACATGTCTTCTCAAACACTAGACCATCAGTTCCAATATACCTGGTGGCTTTTCACAGAACGGAGTGGTTGAACTCAGACTCCAAGCTTAACACCACCAACCGGTTGGTGTCAAGTGTCTAATTTAACTATCCATGTATCTACATATATATATCCTAATTTAGACAGTGGCTGACAGACGAATTAAATCAAAATGAACAAGACTAAAAAAGGATGACTGGGAAAGCGTTGTCCTTTCTCCATGTTACTATTAATGTTTTGATGATCACTTGTTCGGTTCAATGACGCACGACCTTTTATCATACACACTTAATTTTCTCTTCTTTTTTTTTCTTGTAAGACAGCCAGTCAGCAATGTGGCTCAGACTATCGACTGTCCGAGGGGAACATACTACTGTTCTAACAGACCTATTAAGGACACTGGATGTTGATGATAGCAGAAATCTTTATTCCTATATCACTACTACTCTACTGACTTCAGTAATATACTGTGGTGAGAGCAAGCTGCTAGCCGATTGGTAGACATTGATCTACGCTGATTGGTGGAAATTAATCTGGGCTGATTCAACAACCGATCACAGCTGACCTAGACGTGGACAAATATGATTCGCAGACAAGTGGCTCGCATTTCCGAGAAATATCGAAAACGAGAAAGCAGAAGACTGCGTTTGTTTGCAAACAACCAATCAGAAGACCGCCTTCTTTCTGCGCGCAGAGCCTTATTAATGTACGTAAAATACATATAAATACCTGTTGGTTTTCGTAATAAAACTGATCTGTTGCCTGGCCCTTGTCTTCTGTTGTTACAATACTACTATTTCCAAATGTAATAGTGTTGGCTAGGAAAATTCTATTGGAGTTATTATTATGATAAGTCTGACAACTACGTCAAAGTACTACTTGTCATCATCAGTCGATTACGACTGATTGAATGTGAAGGGTGATGGTGGTTGGCAATACAAATGAAATCTGACAGATAATCTAATGGTCACTTGACAAATTGATTAGCAACTGGCAACTAGATCACTGTGGTTAAGCGGTCGTTCTGGCTAACTCACTTTGTAGTGTTGAATTGTACACATGTTCACACACCACACTTATGCGTATATGTTGACTAGAGAATTCAGGGTACTATTTGCAAGAATTGGCGTCGCATCAACGTTCGTGTAGTCCGCTATTTATTTAGCTATAGTAATGCATGACCATTCTTTATCAACACAAATCCACAGTTTCCAGCAACCAACTTCTAGTGAAAGATTGTTCTCGTATTCATAATTCAGACATTACACAAATAGGAGAACTTACATTATGAGAACATACAATATGGCGATATTGATCATCGATGTTCGTCGGAATTAGCTGATGGCATAATTCACATGGGACTTGTGCAGGGAGTACACCAAATGGTGGTTTTCCCATACTTCGCTCGATTAGATCACTTGGTCCCAGTTGAACAAGTATGGTATTTACACTTGAACTAACAGGAAACGACTGTTGAGATGACTTCTGTGAAGTCAAATTAGTAGAAACAGACACTGTAGAAGTCGATTGAATAGGAATGCTCGAATGACTAGCAACGGACGACACAACAGTTGCCTTATTCGATGACGCAGCAGAACATGGTGCAACTGGAATCTGTGTTTTTCTATTCAGTGATACACCAGGCTGTTTAGCAACTGTGACACAAATCGGGAACATTGGTTGAGAAGTTTGAGGGCGTATCTGTCCTGTATTTGAAGTAGACTGACCGACTGAGGTGGTCGGTGGCGCTATAGAACATGTAACTGACTTTGACACAAAATTTGGCACATGACCAACACATGGAGTCGGTAATACACACAAATTTGTAGGATTAACACTACCCGGCAAAGGAAAACTTGTTTGTGTTGTTACAGATGGTGACTCGAAGACAGTTGGGAAATGAATAACACTCCCTGAAGTAATTTGGTTACTTTGATTCGGATTCGCAGTACATGGAGTTGGAATTCTATAAAAGAATGATTGTACACATAACTGATATTAACGCAACTGTTAGAATATAAAACACAGAAAGTGATTAACACGAAACATAAGCCTGGTTTTTTATTAACAGTGGTATTTGGAAACCATTATACATATTTATGTATATATGCAACTAGCAACATTCACAGCTGGCTACACAAAAAAATTCACAACTTCAAGAAACTTCTGCTCTTTCTCTCTACTTACTTGGATTACCAAAGATCTTATCAATGACTGACTGACTGACTGACTGACTGACTGACTTACCAGCTGAGCAATCTGCACAAAAAGTACTTCAGTTCAAGTTGCCACACTTCCCAACAGTGCACATAAACTCGGGGGAAAGAAATGTACTGAAATATCAATGGACGAAAATCTATCGCAAAGAAAAAATATTTACGCGGAGATTAGTGAGGATTTTCACAATCTGAAAGATGGTAGAACAAGTTGAACATGTCTGCATCATTACGAACAATGTTGAGTCATATAGCAACAATAGTCTCAAACTATTGACTCTCAGCATCTAAATGACCCTAGTCGAACAGTATAAACCGCCTAACATGATTCAAACCAATTGTCACAGACTTCACTGCTGAGTGCCTTCTTTTCATCTGACCACCTCAAGCTTGCTACAGTTGCAAATAGTATCTGTCCCTCGTGGAAAGTGCTACCGCCTCAGAATGAATAATAGATGTCCCAGACAACTCAATCTATATAATTATGCAACATAATGCATGCACTTCCACTGCTTACTTGACATTCGATGTGAATCATCACTATAACAAGCCATTTCGCTCCGACTAACACAACAGATTATACACAGCAGCAGCTTATGATAAATAACCACTTTAACACAAGTGTCTCCTACAGATAGACATATAACAGAAGAGAGCGAAAATCTAAACAACACACACTTGTCAACTTATGAATAGCAGACTATCAGGTCTACGCCAAACAGGATGCAAATTAGCCTACATCCAAAAAAACAACAACAGACATTTGCAGCATAAGTGACGTGATCTGTAGACTCCCTTTGATTTGTTGGTTGGTTGGTTGGTAAACAGGTTCTCGGCTAGTCTAGTGCTACAATCCATTGTGGCTCATTATTTCTGACTGGTTGTCTAACGTGCTTTCATTAGCGAGCAAAGCGGTTGCCCGTCGCCTCTTCAAAATACTTTAAATGGATGCGACAAGTATCTGTGATATCTACTATCAACACTACACAAGAGTGAAAGTAAAAAGCAAGTTGTCCGCGTATGCATTCTACTCATTTCACTACTATCCATGATGAACTTCACCATTTTATACTATTAGAAATCGACATGGAACCTTCAAATAAAATTGGGCTCATCTCATCACCTTACACACAAGTGTCTTCGTTTTCACTTGCTTTTCAAACGAAATCGCTTGTGTGAAGCTAATGTGTCAAAAGAAAATAGGAGTCAAACATGAAAACTGACGTACTAAGAAGGATCAGAGCTTAACACTGAAGATCGTGAGATCCAATACTATTATTGATATTAAAACACAAATTAGAAGAAAAAACACACACACACTAGTACTTACATAGGTAATGAAATCACAGGGAATATTGACTGCATATTGCCATTATCCTCTAGGATCCTGCTCATTTTAGAATGGTTAAAAGGTTTAACTTTCTTTGGCTCGATGAGTTCACCGTAAATAGCTGATATGCTTGCACAATACTTTACAGTATAACACTGGAGGCTCCAACGTCCGAATGCATTTACTCGAGTCACAATCATAGCTTGTATTAAATTATACAGGAAACGGACAAATTTAAAAGGCAAACTGAATCTGGCATATAACGAGGGATTCAGCGTAAGACACGCTAAAGCATGAGCATCATATCCAGACCAAGGAGCGCTCTCGTGAAATGAATTATTTGGTTTACACGAAGCGTGTAAAAAAATATCCGAGTCTAGACTACGTGAAGAAGTCTGAAATAAGTTAGCAGATCCTATAGGCGAACCGCAAACAGAGCATATCATAACTTTGGGATTCTCTATACGCTCAACAGTCAATTGTGCATGAGTGCTAGAATAATAATTTTTTTAAAGAAATGAAAATGATTACAATCTTTGGTATATACAAAAACAAATAAACAAACAAACAAACAAGTAATACATTTTTAAGAACTATCATCAATCCCTAATAATTACAACCCACCCTCAAGGTAGCCGATTCCCCCTGAGTGAAGTAAAATAAAAGACGGTCAATTAACAAACTTTGAGAACAAGAAGTTAGTGGTATTATCGTCTACAGGTTAGATTAGCAAAACGTGAAATGTATGTGGGATCTAGTAGAGGTCAGTCAAATGAGATTTTCCACTCTATATAGTAATTCAAAGCTATACTCACGAACGGTTACCCTTAAGTGGCACTATAGAGTAAATCTGAGTATAAAAGTTCAAGTGAGTGGTGCTTAAACCTAGATAAATCTACAATTGGGTGATGAGACCTCTATCTGAAATACATGCATATCTCGCCGCAATTTATATTTTCTGATGACTTTCTTTTGAAGTCAATCATACTTGTCCTGGAGAAAGGATATAAGGAAGTTTCAAGTTCAACCGTAAACGTTAACATAAGTAGAGTAGTTTAAAAACATTATCATCTTTAGCCATATAGACAGGCACACTTTTCTAGTGACTACCATAAACCACAATATTTCCTGTTACTAAGACGGCGGCTTCGAAAAAGTAGATCATTTCATACAATGTGGCATCGTAATGTGGTAGATCCCAAGAATGTCTTTATCCTGATAACCGAAAGCCGAATCAGACGTAGCTTCGAACTAAAAGCAGTGGTGGTAATACTCTGCATAGAAGCTATCAAAATTCTTTTAAGCATTTCTAGTAACATTGGCCTCCTTTAGTGATTAGTTCTTTTTAATTCTTTCCTTCCCCGTCTTTATAGCGCTTCTTTTTGGTGCCCGTGGACTCAGTTGGTGCTGAGTACAGACTTACCATGGTTTATCACGGAGTTTTCCAGTTTTCGTTAGAAAATTGGAGAAACCATCAAGTGATTATTCAAAAGCTTTTGAAAGGATGGTAGACTTCATCCTTTCTGAAGCAGAGATTATACAACTGACATGCACACACATGTATTGTCATTGTTTAAAAGGAATTTTCTGATCACTCATTCCTCAACAAGTGACCGAAAAAAAAACAAACAAAGTAATTACAGTGAGGTATAAAACAATGCATCGGCGGCACAGCGGCAGAATGCTCGCCAACCACACAGGTCGTTCGAGGTTCAACCCCCGGTCGATGCACTCCTTTACCTCGCCACGCCAGTAATAAGGCTAGTAAAGAGGGAAGGTTTGGCATGAGGCCATTAATCCCATCCCGTAAAAATAAACACCACTGCTACCGAAACTGCAAGCCTCTAGCTTGAAGCCCTATGTTCCACTAGGAACGTAAAGGAACAGAAAAAAAATAAAACAATGAGTTCGTCTTCGTTAGATCACAACATACTCAAACGTGCTCTAATTTCCAACCTATGCTATACTTCGTATACGTATCATGTATCACAGAACACGACCATATATTAATGATAAGTGGATAGTTCTGATGACAGACGCTTACCCACGCAAGCATCTTTAAGTCCTAAGAGGATGTAACTGGGCATACATAGCACTTGAAATCAATCTCTTTTATGTTTCTTTTCTGGATTTTACTAGTAAATCCATTTTTATTGTGTGGTCTCAATGGCCGTTACGTTAAAAGGATGACAAGAACCGCTTTTGTCTAGAACAAAATGTTGAAGGATGATATATTTTACAAATTGATATATTAATCGAAAAAATGAGTATATTAGATGCATGTATACACTCACCGTTTAAGGTGATTACTTAATGCCCTCTGACTCTTGCTAATCCAACCACATACAGAACAAGAGTATTTTGGCATACTTAAAGACGAGTTGGACATATTCACTGCAAGGGGGACATAAAAACGACTCATCAGGTAATCACCATAATCCATTGCAAGATTTATCATACTGCCATTATTTTCAGTGCTTTTTGGACGTGTTTCTATCAGCACAACAAGCGGATTGATATTAACAAATTCTTGATGACCTTGTTCCAGATGTCGTATTAACTGCATAGCAGATGCAGGAACATATGGACATTTGTTATCAGTACAGTAATTCCATATCTCATCCCAGTGACGGTGATAAGTTTTCGGTTTCCACGTTAAATGAGAAATATTAACTGATGGAACTAAAGAATTTTTGTTATTCGACTGCTCCTCTATACGTCGGCGTTTACGTCGATTACAAAGTGGTAGTTGAGGAGAAGGATTTGCCTTCTCCACAGCCACTGAGTCGTATTGGTGTCGTAAAAGCGCCGAACCTAAACAAAGTGACAAAAGGTGTAATTACAAACAGTTGGGATGCGAAATATTCCTTTAAAAGATTGAATAGAAGATATTATATCAAAAATGATAATCGAAAATCCTCAAAAATCTGGAAATAATTCCTAGATTTACAGCTAGTAAAAATAGCTTTAATATCAGTTACTTCTTCAATGCTAAGCTCTTAGAAAAAGCAAACTATACAAATAAAATGATTTTATTGGGAAGTCACACTTTTTGAGTCGTGTGCTCAGTTCAACCCAATTTATAACAAAAAATTCAGTAATCGCAGTTCTTTCAAAATGAGTGATATGAAACTTCAAAAACAAAAAAAAACAACTAGATTTATACTTTTTAGGCACTAACCGCCAATGGATACTTGCAATCTGTGCTACACACGTTTGTTCGCCCACTGTTAATCAACCTTGTACAGCTTACTTTTAGTATACACACTAAACCACTACAGTTAGCTTAGTGCAACTATGAGATACTGATTTTTATCACTAAGAAAAATAATCCCTTTGCAGATTATAGAGATGTACACTATCTCGAAAAGTATAGCAATTCAAGAAGTCATGTGTGCCTAACAGTGTACATGGAGAGAATCAATAAACACATGACAAGAGTTGAAAGTAGTCATTGATATGAGTCAACAGAAAGTAATAAGGAATTGTAACAGTGCGGTGAGCAATTATTTATTTTATTTAAACGCAGAAAAAACTTGGTATAATATGACACCAAGAAAGATGCGCCACACAATAATAGTAAAACAACATAGATTAAAATTAAAAATATAAGGAGAGAACGGATAAAGAACTTCATCTGGAAGGAAAAGTCATGTTTAATAAGTTCAAACAGTATTCCTGAACTATCATCACGAAGGGAAGAAAGAAGGAAATTGCAACACGTTCGCCATTGATCACCACTCTTCGCCATATCCGATAACGTTTCGAGCCATCGATACGAGCTATCTCGCGGACCCCAACCAGGGAGTCGTGACGCACCAATCGATGCTAATCTAGCACAAAAATCCTTCATCCCACGACGACACGTCATGGACTGACCACCCCTCCGCCTTTTCCATCCCGTCCCAGGACTAGCGAACACAGACCTGTACGGAAGCCTCTGGGATGACACTCGCAGCACATGTCCAAGCCACCGGAACCCGTGTTCCCAGATAACGACACTCAATGAATGGTGATCTCCACTGTGTTCAAACACACGCTGCCGAACCTCAGAATTACTCACGCGACGATCCCATCGAACGCAAGCAATCCTGCGGAGACAGCGACGATCAAACACGCAGAGTCGGCTCACATCCTCAGCTCGGAGAGGCCAGGCTTCACAGGCGTGGAGCAAGACAGCCCGCACCGAAGCATTGTATGCCCGACCTTTGACAGCCAAGCTAACGTCGCGACGGCGCCAGAGGTGGCTCAAGTTGATGTATGCCACCCTAGCCTTCATTACACTATTGGAAATCTCATCCGTCACCCCTCCGCCAGCACTCACACAACTACCCAGATACACAAACTTATCAACAACTTCAAGCGGTTCATATTAGTTTGTTTATTAGATATATCACATAGTGAAACAGTACTATTTACTGGATGACGTTTCGAACAAAATTTATTGTTCATAATCATATCAATTGTAATCACACGACTTTGAAATAGAAATAGCACTAAGTGGGATAGACAAAACCACGGCTGATGAAATACGAGCACAGTGTGCACTGACATTAAAACGACAAAAATGTGGAAAACCCAACCTGACAAAACAAGAGATAGAAGCCCTGAAACACCTTAAGAATAACAAGGATATAGTTATCACAAAGTCAGACAAAGGAAATGCAACAGTTGTATTAGACAAATCAGACTATTTGGACAAGGTAAATACTCACATACAAACAGGACCATATGTGGAAATTAATAAACCAATAGATACAGTTATGAATAAAGTTAATAAATCCACAGCGGACCTTATACGCCGAATGAAGCCGTTTCTAGGTGACTCTAAGTGGTTTAATTTAATGCCCAAAACTAATAACCCCAGTAGGATGTATGGTGTTGTTAAAGTTCATAAGTCAGGATACCCTATTAGGCCTATAGTTGATTTTAGAAATTCACCTACTTATGAATTATCTAAATATTTAGCCATGGTATTAAATCCCCTAAAAATCCACTCGAAATCTAGACTAACAAATTCTTATGAAATTAAACACACATTAGATAATTTAAAATTAGATGATGAAGAAAAAATGGTTAGTTTTGACATTATCAGCTTATACACACGTATACCAATAAATATGGCTATGCAGGCAGTCAGAAACCAACTCATTTCTGACCAAGAAATCGAACTCAGGACAAAAGTGCCACTTGAGGACATAATGCTGGGAGTACAGCTATGCCTGACTCCCACAGTATTTAAATTTCAAGGGAAAATATACAAACTGAAGGAGTTGCCATGGGATCACCATATCCCCAGTTGTAGCAGATATATTCATGGATAAGTGGGATAGCATAGCGATTGAAACGTTCACCCCAACCCCAAAAGTATGGTACAGGTATGTAGATGACACATTCACTGTACTTAAAACACAAGATACAGATAGGTTTTTCGAATACATCAACTCGAAGGTTGAAGCAATTCAATTCACTTATGAATTGGAAAATCAGGAAGGGGAGCTCCCAATGTTAGATTGCAACGTAAGGAGGAAAGAGGATGAGAAGTTAAACACAGTAGTGTGTTTACAGGAAACCCACACACTCAAACAGATATTTGGACTTCCGATCGTCCCATCCTATGTCAGTAAAAATAGGATTGGTGAAATGTTTAAATGACAGAGCACAAAAACTAAGCAGTACCAAAGAAAATCTAAAACAGGAACTGATACATATAAAAGAAGCCTTGAAACTTAATAATCACACGGATAAATTAGTCAAGAAATATGTAAGGAAATGTAAAAATAAAATAAATAATGATAGCAGAGATAGTGATAATAACAATAATAATGATAATAATAATAGTGATAATATTCATTATATTAATGACGACACCAATAATAAGGAATCTAAATCATCAGTAGTAATTCCATACAAGGAAGGAATTTCGGAAGCCTTACGCAGAATTCTTAACAAGGCAGGCAGTAATAAAAATGGCATTCAAACACACAAACTCAATTAGAAACAAGCTTTGTCGGTTAAACGATCCTGTAGAGCCTTTAAGACAAAACAATTTAGTTTATCTCATACCCTGCCGGAATGATTGTCAGGTCAAATACATAAGTCATACTAGTAGAACAGGGGCAGTCAGACTAGCTGAGCATAAAAACCTAGCAAAATCTAGATTGGTTGACCCGGACAAGATAAGAAATCTAGAGAATAGTTCAGCTATAGCACTACATGCAGTTACACACAACCATACAATAGGATGGCATAGGATGACAGTTTTAAAATCTAATGTCATAGGGAGAGATTGATAACAGAAGCTTTGTTTATCGAATCAACTACAAATACATGTAACAGGAATGATTCATCACCTCTCCCCGATATCTCGAAAATTCAACTACCCATACGACAAATAGGAGAGAACAAAGGAAACTATAAAACTCAAGTGTCAAAGTCGTGTGATTACAATTGATACGATTATGAACAATAAATTTTGTTCGAAACGTCATCCAGTAAATAATACTGTTTCACTATGTGATATATCTAATAAACAAACTAATATGGAATTACTTACTACCACAGTGCCCAAGTTTTACACATATTTCAAGCGGTTCACCCGCAACAGTGAGTGCAGGTACAGGCTCCTGCCAATCTTGTAACAGTACTTTGCACTTAGACGGTGCAAAGCACATACCATACTTACAGAGCAATTACACCGCAGTGATCAATAAAACAACATCCATGCAGCTCCATAACCTTTTCTATCAATCAATAACCCTTTGCTAAACAACCTTTCGTACACATAGACACTTCATCACCCAAATGAAATGTATTAACATATCATTGAGTCATTACGGATAGACGAAACAAATGCACGAAGATCTTATCAATTATTACTGCCAAACACGTTACACTGACTGAAAACAGTAAGTTATCTATCAACAACGAAGGATCCGCGTAGAGTTTCATACACTAAATTTCTAATTACGTATAACTACCGACTTACTTTCTCACCTCACTTTTCTGTAAGTTCTACTTTAGTAGTATTGCATTGATTGATACCAAAGGATACTTACTATACAAGGTGGTGAAAACCAAAGTAAAGCTTGAAAGAATGGTGAGAACGAAAACTGTCTGGCAGATTACTGAACCATCGTCATCAGGTGAAGTGATCACTATACATTAGGAATAATTTCCTATTTCTCAGGAAATTACAACAAAGTGGTAACGCACTTCATAAGTGATGTCTAATAAAATAATTACTCAAACCAGAAACCTTTTATAAAATACTTATTCAAAACCAATAAGCAATGACAGTTACATAGCCCATACCTATGCGAAGCAAAAACTTGACAGTTGGACGCAGTTTTCCTTCCTTATTCACGTCGAAGCCAGAGTGACGCGGTCCAGGTGGAAACGTTACAGAATCAATCGGTAATCGGGGAGTACTGTGGGAGGGTAGCAAAACCCATCGATGTGTAGCTCTTAAATGCCTACGAGGGACAATCGCATTGGCATATAGTTCGCGGTAGCTTCTGAGAGGGTTGAATTCTTGATTACCGGATTCAACATCGCCATAATGCACGATATCATTTTCACTGAAATCATCCATTTCTGTTGATTCAGTGTTTACAGCCAATGAAGGGCGCTGATTTATTCGTTCGATTTGCCTACGTAAAGGTGAAGGCAAGCTAGAGACCAGCTGTTTTGATAAGAAGACAGAAAGAAGAAAATTACAAACCAAATCAAAATCTAAAAATTATGAAAAAAAATGCCCAGCTTAGTGATTGACTCATGAAAAGAAACAGCAATATCAGAAAGCAGTGACCTAATTGGTTATTCGTTATGGTGTAGAAATCTTCAACAGGCAGGCACTCACGAACCGGCGGGAACCGTCATGTTTCCAGACATGAGCACTATCATACAACCATTCGGTTGAAATATAATAGTTCGTGATTTAAAGATTGCGCGTCAATCATGAAACCTAACCACCCTATGTATCATAATTACTTTACCTACTGAGTGCATACATGTTAATCCGCCTGACTGATTCTTCAAAGTAAAACTTTGCACAAAGGTACAGAACAAAATTCTAAGGAACTACTATGAACTATGAATAAATATTTTAAAAAGATGAGGATTACATGGATCTGGAGGATCATGAGGCGTGAGTGCAACTGAGCCATGTCACTAACAGTTTGTAGTTCTTACTTCATAGCGCTTAACCAATTCACACAAACCCCCACCCCTAAGTTTAAACCAGGAGTCAACTGAAACGAAAACATATCTTGTTCCCACGGGTGTTTCATTTGAGAGCTGCTTAGTCGACACATGAGACTATTGGATTTTAGATACAATGTTAGTCAAGCCAGTCGATGTTCTCACAACGTTTCAATTGTGAAAGGTAACTAAAGTACCGTTCCCAGAAATCGTTTCGCATACCAGTGGTTTTTTACAACTTGTTTCACCGATGAGTTTAAATAGTTTGCTGGTGTTATCTATTGCTGAATTCTTTTCCATCGCTTTCGCTTTTGTCGCCCACCAGTGTTCACAGTGATTGTGGAAATTCTAAGTCAGTTTGCATTTCAGCATCTTTCTTTCCTCGTCATGTTTAAAACCTACCAGAATCAGTGTTCTTGAGTCTATCAGCAGCAGAAATCCATTGCCATTTACCAACCATTGGTTCCAGGTTATTAAGAGCCTTGATCACAGTTTTACACAGGAATCGGTGGTATGCCATGCTCTCTCAGAATGAGTCTTCCTGTCAATCTTAGGTGCTAGTTTAGTTATTTCTTCCCTAGACTGACAATTTTTGTTTATGTTAAGGTCATAGTGCAACGTCCTCGTTGCTACCTGTTACGTCTCTATTCGCCAACAGTAGGAATTCGCCCTCAGACACTCCTCCAACACATGACCAACTTACACAGTGATAATTAATAGCTGCCACTAATTCAACACCTAACTACACAAACGATATTTCTGGCATGGTAAAAACTGCAGGAATACTTGTTCCAACAAGTGTAAGTCGTTGTTTCGTTGTGACACTGCAAACCCTACCACCACGTTAAGGCAGCGGCTATTACTCAGGGGTAGTGCACCTGTCATGACCTAATGGGCCTACACAAATCTGTGGGCAAACACCCATTATAGGACGGGATTATAGAAAAATATTAATTACAGGATTTCATCATGAGCTGACATCGGTTGGAGAACCGTTGGAAGACCTGGAGTACTGGACAGCTGTTTCTTCCTGGCTTGGGACTCGTCGCAGTACGCACCCGCCGGGGTTCGAACCCAGGACCTTCTGCTTACAAGAAAACCTCGTGGACAATTAAGCTACTGGGATTCAATCCAATGGTCCAGGTGGTGTAATGCACCTTCATGTTTTTCAGTTCCGATTTTCGTTAGCACAAAAAGCAATAAAAGGCTACAAAGATGTGATAAGCATAAGTAGCTTTCCACTTACCTCCTTCTCAGGCATACAGAAGTGAGTCAAGTTTATGGGTGTCACAGTTATATATCTTCGAACACCCAATTAATTAATTAATTAATTATTGATTTCAGTGTCAATGTTCTGGTCATTGACTAACACTACATAATGCTGCTGTTGCCAACTTGTAAACATTCTGAAAAAACTTTAGGAATAAATGTTAATAACCTGAAGTATAACCCCTAAATACACCACGATTAAAAAAACTGTTTACACCGACTGTCGAAAATTCTGTACACCATTCCCTTTAAAGACAAGATCATTATATCTCTACAACGTATTTTTTCTAAATTATTAAACTACGTAGCAAAACACAACTGGCTACTATTGTTACATGAGTTCCCTGAAATACACGAAATCAACATCAGAAGGAATGCAAAACACTGGTAAATTACAACACTACAATATGATAAAACGAAATTGAGACCCTAATAAAAACAAAATGTGCTACAACAGGTATTGTAACAACAGAAGACAAGGGTCAGGCAACAGATCGTTTATTAAGGAAAATAAACACATATTTACAGATGTCAATGTACACTACTGTAGATTATTGTTAGTGGAAAATACAGTCGTTTGATTGGTTGTTGCTCACAGAAAGTTAACCTTGCATCTCTTTGTGGCTGTGTCAGATCATCCATATGCTAACTGTATCCGCCTACGCAAAGCCTTTGTTCCCATTTTTTCACCACCAATGTTGGAGACATAAACATTGAGGTCAATTACTGTCTACCAACTTTGGCTAGCAGCCAGCTCTGACCACAGTATGACTGAATGAAAGCCTTATCTGGAACGGTAACACCAGGAAAAGACGGCGCTACTCGTCGTTGCCTTTTCGTAGTCTCCGCTTACAGACTGCAGTCCGGATGAATTAAAAGATGACTTCTACCTGAAACTGTCTCATTTGCTGCAAAAATCAAAACGTTCAGACATAGTTTTTTTAGCAGGCGACTTCAATGCCCAAGTAGGGAAATTGTGCCAGACTAAGAAGTATGTAGGTGGTACATATGGAGTTCCCTGCCGACGAACCGACAACGGTGATCGTCTTTTTCAGTTTTGCTCAGATAATCATCTGTTCCTAGTCAGCACTAACTTTAGGCACAAAAAGAGACATTGTGTTACCTGGCGACCTCCATCACCAAACCAACGCTGGACTCAGATAGACCACATAGCCATAGGGTATCGTTGGCGAGGGTCAGTAGAAGACTGTCACTCCTGGAACACGTGCGTAGACTCTGATCACGCTCTGGTTCCCGCACGTTTATGCTTACGACTAAATGGACATTAGAAACTGACGGCAGTGAAACAGTTACGTCCCCAACTAGATCGAGACACTGAGTCCTTATTTAAGGAAGAAATAGCGGGGTTGACGGCAGGACTTCCCCCGAGTTAGGCTGGCACAACATACAGTCAGCTGTAGACACAGCTGTGAAAGCTGTCAATAAGCTAAAACCTAAAGTTAGTAAAAGCCATTGGATCTCTACCACCTCATCCGAACTGATTGACGCAAGAACACTGATTCCAGAGAGCTCCGATTATGATGAGGAGCGAAAGGTGCTTAAACGAAGACTAACAAAACGTCTTCGCAACGACCGTGAACAGTGGTAGCCGACAAAAGCGAAAGAGATGGAAAAGGCATCGGCGATTGGCAACACCACACAACTATTCAGGCTTATCAGGGAAACAGGTGGCAAAAGGCAAATGATAAGCGAAACAATCTCGAAGAAAAATGGCACCATTATTAATTCCCAGGATAGACGACTGGAAAGAACACTATGAGGAGCAGTTTAATTGGCCCACAGCCACACTTAACCTGCCGAACATCAAACACCTCCCTGAATGGGATATACACACAGTTCCTCCGTCCTTAACTGAGGTTACTAAAGCTGTCACTTACTTGAAGCAAGGCAAAGCAGCGGGACCTGATGGAATGACCCAAGAGGTATTTAAGTACGGTAGAGACAGTTTACTGTCTGCATTGACTGAGGTTCTAGGCAGCGTCTGGGAATCAGAGGAAGTCCCATCGGGTTGGTGTAAGTCACTGATCATCCCGATATACAAGAAAGGAGACAAGTCTTCTTGTGATAATCACAGGGATTAGCTTGACTAATATAGTAACTAAAATCCTAGGCTCAATAATACTGCGTAGACTAAGTCGTGCTTGGGAGGCACAAACACGAGAAAACCAGGAAGGTTTTAGGCCAGGAAGAGGGTGCATTGATCATATCTTCACCCTTCAATAGATTCTAGAACATAGGCATTCCTACCGGCGTCCAACAATCATTATATTTCTTGACCTAAAGGCGGCATTCCATTCTGTCGACCGAGAGGTTCTCTGGCGATGCCTGGCTGTAAAGGGAATGCCGAGAAAATACATTGCACTGATTAAGGCACTCTACTCTACTCAAACTCATGCAGCCAGGTGAGGGCTTACAGCGAGTTGTCATCTGAAGTGGTGACGACTAGTGCCGTCCGTCAAGGATGCCCATTATCCCCATTTCTATTCAATTTCATCATAGACGTACTCATGGACTAAACCCTAACTCACTTCAGAGACTCAGGGATTGACTTGCTACCAGGGAATAATCTCGTTGACTTAGAATATGCAGACGATATAGTCCTTCTAGGTGAGGACGCTGACAAAATGCAGAGTCTTCTCAACACCTTCAGCTGCAATCTAAGAATGTTTGGCATGCGATTCGCCCCTGTAAAATGTAAGATGATGTTGCAGGATTGGACTACACCGACCCCTAGATTAGAAGTAGGAAGTGAAGTGGTAGAGCACGTTGACCACTTCAATTATTTGGGAAGTACCATCAGCCCCAACGGGTTGATCTCTGACGAAATCTCAGTACGAATACAGAGGGCTAGGTTCGCATATGCCAGTTTACGCCGTCTCTGGCCTATACGTGATATCCGACTATCGACCAAAGGGCGGGTGTACTGCTCAACAGTCCGCTCCGTCCTCCTTTATGGCTAGCTGTGAGACCTGGCCATTGAGAGCGGAAGACATGAAAAGATTACCTGTCTTCGATCATAGGTGTCTGCGTTCTATCTCCCGTGTGAAGTGGTATAATAAGGTGAGCAATACTGAGGTTAGGCGTCGAGTTTTAGGTAGGTGGGAGGGGAAATCAGTCGACGAGACTGTGAAATTACATCGACTGAGATGGTTAGGACATGTGTTACGCATGCATGCCTAGTCATTGCCTTCCTCGACAATGGGCAATGTTAGCTGATATAGGGTCAGACTGGAAAAGAGCCAGTAGTGGTCGAACCAAAACATGGCACCAGTCAGTGAAGTCTACAACAGTTAGTCTAAGCCACGTAGGTAGGTGTAGACTTCCTGGTTGGGGTACTCGGGATGGTAAAAACCAATGGTTGGAAACAATTGGTGACATGGCTCAAAATCGTTCTCAATGGCTGGTGCAGATGCATCCACTCCTTGTGACTTATGATTTCCAGTTAAACTGTTTTGTTCTTCGTTATTACTATTCCTTTGTCTCACACCTCTGTTTACGGTCTATATTATGGATTTCTCCTAATTTCTTCTCTTGCATTATGTGCTACATGGAGTGTGGCGACTTGAACTGCCCCACATATGTGCAAAGTTCTATGTCGAAAAAGAAAGATCCAAAAACATCACCACGATGTAATTATCAGACAATTTGGATTGTAAATAAATTAATCTTTTACTATTATATAACACAAATAAAGTGACTGGAATTACCGAATCCGATCCAGAGCTAGACGTTCTCGAACTAACAGTAGATAGACATACATTGTTCTTTGGGAGTATAAGTCTTAATGAGTTGTTTGAATTCATTCTGTAATTGAAAAATCATGTGAAAATATTGACAACTTATTTCTGGTCACCACTTGTAACTAGTTAATATCGTACACTTAAGTGATCAATTTCCATAAAAAACGTACGGCAATAAAAAATGCATCGTTTCTTCAACAAATTTGAAATATCCAAACTTAAAACGTTTACACCTAAAAAGTAGTGAAAATTCTCACTACCAAAGTAGGGATACAGTTCGCAGAAATGATGATTACAGAGATGCAATTAGCAACGAAATAACTTACCCAGTAGTGTACTAGATGGTCTCGGTAACCCTATTTCTTAGCGAGAAATTTCGTATTCACAGCTTACACAAAGAATACATTACTAAGTTTCATGATGCCCGCCGACCATGTTGACAGATTCTCGATTTATTATAGTAACTGTCGTCTTAAACATTGTCATCACTGAACAGAACCTCCTGTCGTGTAGACCAATAGGAAACATTCTTGAGACTTCTTGTCAATGATATACGATAAAGACTAAATAACCGTCATGTTCGACAATACGCCAAATTTCTGCAATTGTACTATACGATTACTGATTAGTTAACCATGGTTAAATAATTTCCTTTCCTATCTTCACAAATAAAATATAGGCTCATTGTATAAGTGAGCAGAGATTGCTCCGTAGGTGAACACCATCATTGTGTCATTCTTAAAACCAAGTTGAGTGCCAAATTTCCTTAGATATTCCTGGTGAAAACAATATTGACACGATGTACTTGGTCAGAATTATTAAGAAATCTACAGGTGAACGGCAGTAATATTCAACAAGTGTTTTTAGCAGATGCACAAAAACGAAGACAAAATTGTGAGAACTCTGTTATGAGAAAACGGTGGAGTGTGATAATTGCATTTGAACTATATTGAAAGCAATCAGGAGCTAAATATTAGTAAGGCGTATTAATATCTACATTTGTATACCTGGTTTCCGATAGGCTGAATAAGAACCCAAAAATCTCTAGAATCTGAAGAAATTCGAGTCATTTGGAAACTTGGACATCCCACTAGTACGTACAAAACAAGTGGCACGGTGCTCAATATACTTCTCCGAATTGAGCATACAATATCAATAACTGGACTGCGGACCCAAACCATTTTAAGTATAGTGATTTGAACAGACAAGTTGTGTCGTAACCTTCAGATTATGACTATTGTTCATAACATAAGGTGTGAACTTTTCTGTGGTTATTAGAGTTGTCTATGGTCAAGGTATACAAAGACTTACGAATTCTTGTCAATCATAACTTTAAGGCTTACATAATTTAGTGAAGATGTGGCTTAAGCATTCCTAACACTCTGAACGCTTCCAATGGTTTTTAAATGTAACAATAAACAATATAAATAATTTTAAGACCTCATCTTGGATACTGTAAACACGGACTTAATCCATGTTTCAAGGAGGCATGCATGTGTAATTCCTAGCCACCTTATTGGTTGATTCACGGTCAATTGATTTTGGTGTTTATTCTTTAATGTTGCCAATTACAGTGAAGTCGCACGATTTCAATGAAATATCATGGTGATTCTTAACTGAGAAACATTGTTTGTTGTTGTATTATTCGAGAGGTCCAAAGTTATTTGACTGGATTAATCCAAATGTTAGTCCAATTGGTTCTCGACTTTTATGCACCTGGATGACTTCCCAGCTGACACCGACTTCGGGCGCACAGAGAAAAATTAAGGGCAGGCTGCAGGTAACAGTTGCGCTTTCTGCAATGTGCCCGAAGATTTCACTCCAAAATCCCTGCAGTATGCTCGTAAAAATTCTAGCTAGGTTCTTAAGATTAACTTCGTGAAATATGATCCTTCTCTATATTATGAACACCAGAAACAACTAATAAAATTCTAAGAGAATTAGGCACGCGAAATAAAGGAAAAATATAAGACAATTCACCTATTCTCGTGATACAATAGGTACATCTTGTTACCTGCAACTTTAAAGACAGCCTGCTTAAGGTCGTAATTTCGTGTGCCCGCGAGTGAGATAAACAAGTGATTTACTCGCTTATGATTGGTCTGTTTGATATTACCTTTAAGGTAGCAGTAGCGGTATTTCCAAACGTTATTCGATGTTTTGTTGTTGTAATGAGACAACAACTTGTATAATACCACTAAATAAGTTTTCTTTTCTTCTTTTGCAGAAACGAATGCCAGTATAAACTCATTGGAGCAAGAAGAGGAGCGTTTGGCCAGCCTTGCTGTAACGGATGATTAGTTAACTTGTACCCGCACTTTTTAAACCTTGCTTACTCACAATATACATTTTAACGGCACTCTGCGTTCTTCCTTCTCTGTCTGTGACTGTGCGTGATCTTCTGTTACATTGTTTCTACTTTGTAGGATGATTTTAATTGTTCGGTAGGATAACTGCCCAAGCTTACAACAATTCTAAACTTATTCTAACCTATGCGTCGATAATGCCTTTTTATGGTAAATGAAAATTTTTTCTACCCACTATGTTCTGAAATAACACTGGTCGTGCTTAAAAAGAGAGCTGGGTGCTGAATTAATGCGACAAAATCTTAAAAAAAGATCAGCATCTGAAATAGTGCCTTCAATGCTGAAAATAAGCACTGCATGCCTAAATATGTGCTTAGAAGGCTAGAATTAAGCTGAAAAATTTGCCACTATGTGCTGAATTAGGTCTTTTCGTTCTGAAGTAATGCTAGTCAGTTCTGAATATGTGCTGAGAAGGCTAGAATTAAGCTGAAAAAATTGCCACTATGTGCTGAATTAGGTCTTTTCGTTCTGAAGTAATGCTAGTCAGTGCTTAATATGTCCTGTAAGGGCTGGAACAACGCTGATAAGCAAGCCCAGTATGTTCTGATCTACTCCTAAAAATGCCTAGAAAAAGAACACGGTGCTGAATTAGTTCTAGTCATGCTGAAAACCAGCACTGAGTTCTAGTCTGTGCCATTAAACAAACCATTTCAGAACAGATCTAGAGTTTACTCACTATAGGATGCAAGAATTATTTCAGAATTACTGAGATTTAATTCAGCATTATTGTAAGCTTGGGTGGTAATTCACCCAGCCAGCAATTTTTTTGGTGCAGACCTAGGGCGCATTGCAGATTTTTTGGGGCACTTCGGGCGCATTGCAGACTTTTTGGGGCAGACTTCGGGCGCACTGCAGACTTTTTGGGGCAGACTTAGGGCACATTTCCGATTCCGACTTTAACTTAGGGCGCATTGCAGACTTTTTGGGGCAGTCTTCGGGGCGAATACTCAAGAACGGCAATGCGCCCAAAGTTTTTTTTCCCCGAAGAAATGCTAGGTGGGCATATAGTCAGGGTAGAGAAAATTAATGCAGTTGCACATGTTTTCAAAGCAGCAATATGCTATTGCAATACCGTCATCTAGTTCATACTAAATGTCATATATATACCAGTCTGGGTAAGTTCATGTAGGCCTCAAATATATTTGTAAAATATGTATTTAGGCATAGTACTAGGTGGTTACGTGACTGCAATCACATTGTCATGGAATCACAACCAACACCATCGGGGGACTTGGACACGCAGATGCTCATACAAGGAATAGTATGTCAAATCAAAAACCTTCAACAGACGCACCCGAGGATATGTAGGAGTGTGTTTCTTCACATATACTATTATGTATATGAAGCAGATGCACAGGAGGATGATCAGGCATCTACATCGTCATGCTCGGACAGATATATGTACACATTTTTAAAGATAACTGTAAATAAATTCTCCTATGACAACTTCTATTTCTTATTGATTCTAAGTTACGGAAAATGTTGCTGAAACGGTTAAACGAATAGATAATAACGTATTAGGTTCTGTCTTGAACCGTAGGCATTCCTTTCTTATTATTACAATAACTGTAGTTGCATTGAGTTACATATATAGTATAGGTACATTCTTCCCTTCATGGTACATTATGACGAGTGGAAATCACAAGCACATTATCTCAGGTAAATTTACTTTCACTTCGTGACTATGAATCCCAAGTCAGTTGATAGGTTCTACTAAGACGATAGATAACTCTAAACGCTTATAATCTCAATGTTTTCTTTTGCATGTGGACACAGTAACTTCATTACAGTACGACATAGTCTTTTTATCAATATACCTCTCCGAATATCTAATTTACTTAGCATTTCTAAGATCACGTCATATACTCCGTACCTCACAACTTACGCAAAGGCTATAATTCACTCTTATCAAGTAGAATATACAAGGAATATATTTATTAATGAATAAACATGTAATACGAAATCAATGACCCTGAAGAAACCTTTTTCTTCAGCACCTAACTCTATAAAATCCCTGAAAGTAGCTATTATCTGTAAAAGAACATAAGAATTCTAAAGATGTAGACATTGTTACCACTATAAATGCGATATTTAACTACTTAAAATGTTTAAAAAAACAAATAAATAATGAGTTAAATTGTATATACTTACTTCAGTCTATATTTTTCAAGCAGACGAAAATGGATATTGTATCTGCCTGTAAACATCAAGTCTATACCATAAAATAAGTAAATACTATGCGTATATAATTCCCCAGTATTTCTGTAGATTCCCCTTAAAGAAATACATGTGGAGGAGCTTTAACACCATCAGCAAAAGTACAAAACAAAGTAAGTAAAAATAGCTAACAAAATGAACTTGCCTACCTCATCATATCGATGTTTAATCCTTTGAACTGTACAAAAAATCACTAAAAGTCGTTATAGTGTGTCTTTAAGTAATTCGGCATTTTCTTAACGCAACAGTACGTATTTCAAATATTTGTAAACTGGCCACAAATCACGACCGGCTAAGGACACCATCATATGCTATTTATGTTAAAACGACTATTCCATCGACTTTTAGCAAGTGTGTAAAACAACGAATAATTTTGAGGGTTTTTTAAATAAATATAGTCTATGGACGTCAGATGATCAAATTACCTACAGCCACATATAGGCTGTCTTTATCCTCACCCTTCGTATGCAATTGAAATTC